CTGTTCTTTTTCACATCATATCTATCAATTCGAGTGTAAGAAATTTCTTTTGATTTATTTTCTTCCATTAATTTCAGAATAATTTTTTGTCAAAGTCGGATTGTGAAGAAACATGTCCGATATTAGAGAACCCATGTGAGAATGGTCTTCCGGCAACGGGTCCAGAAGGTAATCCGGTACTGTGTGGAGGTGATACGACAACAATATGCGGCATCGGTTACTATTGTCATATTGGTGCAACATCCTCGACAACTGTTTGTTGTCCTGCAAGTAAGATTAATTCTCAAATTTTGTTTCTTGTTTTCTGGAAGCTAATTCTGATTTAATCTTTTCAAGTTTGTTATTTTTGAAATAATATTTATTAGAAAAATTTCAACATATTTCAGTTGGTGATCCTTGTCGCATGCCGGTATCCAGCGGAGACGGAAATGCAGTCCTGAATCGTTGGTATTACAATACACAATCACAAATTTGTGTAAACTTTGTTTATAGTGGTCAAGGTGGTAATTCAAATAATTTCCGGACACGTGAAGACTGCATTAAAGCATGTCCGGAATTTAGGTTTAATCTATTTTAATCATAAACCAGGTTTGAGAAATATTTAAGAAGGATAATTTTTAAATTTGTTATTATGATTACTATCATTCTTATCATTATCATTATTGTTTGTAGCACTGATAGCTCTAAGTGCTCAGAGGAGGATAGAAAACTGCAGTTGTTCTGACAAATGATGCAAACTCAAAAAAAATTAAGTTAAAATTAGAACGATAAATCAAATGGAAAAAATGGTTTTTTTTTTAAAAAAAAGGTAAAATTGGTTTAAATTTAAGTCGAGAAAAAGAATCAATCAATTTTAGAAATCCTTGCTCCGTTGGACGTCCACACATTGGTCTGAATGGACAAATCACTCATTGTGGTGCCACTGGGCCATTGATATGTCCAACAACTTATTGGTGTCATATTGGTGCATCATTGGAGAATTCGGTATATTTACTTCGTCAAAATAGTTGTCCATTATCAGTCACCTATGGGTTACTTTAAATTCTTACTTTTATTGTTAAAATATTTGAATAAAAAAGTATGAGTTGAAATGAATGACATAAAAAGTGTTCCAAATTTAACTGATTTATAATTAAATTTCATCCATCTCATCAGGTTTGCTGTCCTACTACCGGGATACCATGTGAACAAGAACTCGACATAGGAAACGGTGACGCAATTTTGGTACGATTCTATTACGATTCGACAACACGTACCTGTCAACAATTTCAGTATTCTGGTTTCGGAGGAAACGAGAATAACTTTTTAACGTTACGAGATTGTGAGGCACGTTGTCCAGGTAACAACATTTGTTTGTGCAATGTCTATCAATTTTATATTTAAAATGAATTGCTGATTATCCAAACGTATGACATAGAATTCAGTATTGAAGGAATGTGTTTCAGTAGATGATGCAACTGTATTATAAGTGATCATATTTTTAAATGTTGAACAAAACTTTACATTTCTAGTATTACCAAATCCATGTGGACTCGGACGACCACAAACGGATGAACTCCAGAATCCGGTTATGTGCAGCGCTGCTGATACTAGGCCGGTTACTTGTTTGACCATTGTTGCTACTGTTACCATTTTTTTTTTCATACAAAAAATAATTACAATTTTTTAACAAAAATTCTGGAAAATATTTGAAAATTTGTAAAAGGCTGATTATGTTAAACAATGTTGCGTAAGCTTTTAATATATTTAAATTTTAAGTTCAAGAATTATCATCTTACATTATTCTCATTACCAATAATAATTTTTGTAGTGTTTGCAAAACGGGTTATTTCTGTCATATTGGTGAGACGGAAGAGACAACGGTTTGTTGTCCGGGAAAATCCGATGACATCTGTAATGAACCCCGCGTACCGGGAACAGGTCAAGCACATCTGAACCGTTATGCATTTGCACCATTGACCAAACAATGCTTACCATTTATTTACACCGGTTTGCGTGGAAATGAGAATAATTTTTTGTCACGAGCAAGCTGTGAAGCTACATGTCCTGGTTTGTAGTATTGAACTGAAATTAAAAATTTTCAATTAAAAAAAACTTCACAAATTCCCCCAATTTGTTATATCATAATTATACAAATGAAAGAATTACATTTTTATAGGTTTTGGATAAAATGAAAAGTTTAATTTAATTTCACTACTTTGAAATTTTTCAGTAATTTCAAACCCATGTGCAGGCGGTGAACCAGCAGCCGGAGGGGATGGACAATATTTAATTTGTTCAACTAGTGGGCCTGATATTTGTCCTGTTGGATATTGGTGTCATGTAGGTGCTGATATCGCTGCCTCCTTGTGTTGTCCTGGCGGTTTGTTTTTTAGTGAATTATTATTTTCCAAATATAAATTTGGTAGGTAAATTTAGATGTTAAATTTTCATGTACAATTATTAATTTCAATAAATTTTAGCTCAAAATGCATGTATTTTACCACTTGCGGAAGGTAGCGGAAGCGCAACAATTCCACGTTGGTACTTTGATCGTCGTTTACGTCAATGTGCAACATTTACCTATACCGGATATGGTGGTAATCAAAACAATTTTCAAACATTAAAAGAATGCCAGGAGAAATGTCCCGAATTAGCGTGAGCTTCCACTCTGTTATTTAAATTATGCTAAAAATTATTTCCTTTTCAATCTTTCAATTTATAATTAATTTTTCAAATAATTGAACCCCAAAAATATTATTTTGTTCATTTATTTGTACAAAAATATTTCCCAACTTTAATAAACATTCTTCTAACCATTGTATAACTTCAGTATGACTTTTTCACTTTATATCTTCGTTTTTTGTTCTTTTAAACTTTAAAAAATCTTGCAGGAATCCATGTTCGATGGGTGATCCAGCTGAATCCTCAGATGGCAATATTTTGCAATGTAGTGCATTGCATCCTCATTGTCCGATGTCATATTTTTGTAATATTGGTGCAACACCTGAAACATCAGTTTGTTGTCCATCATTTGGTCAACCGTGCTTATCACCATTAGCCTTAGGAACCGGAACTGCTTCATTGAACAGGTTCTTTTTCATTTCCTTTTTCAGTAATCCAGTACAATCTCATTCAATATGTATTTTTTATATTTTAGTTAATTATTCTCATATTTGTTTAATTTATATATTGAAATTTTTGCACAAATGAAATCAAATTTTTAATTTCAAATTTCTTTAAGCAATCTTTTAGATGGTACTTTGATCAAACTTCACGACAATGCCTTCAATTTATATACACGGGTCTTGGTGGCAATGAAAATAATTTTTTAACAGCTGAAACTTGTATGCAAAAATGTCCAGGTAAATAATTTTAATTTTCATTACAAAATTTACTATTGGCATAGGTCATGAATTTTAATTTCAAAAATTGTAGAAAAAATTTTTTTAATTTCAATAAAATTTCAGTTCTTCGAAACCCATGTCCATTAGATAACATTACAACAAGTAATCTGCTACCGTTAATAAAATGTAATGTTCGAAATGCTTATTCCTGTCCGTCAACTTATTGGTGTCATATCGGTGGTGATGCTGATACTACCGTATGTTGCCCTGGAGGTGAGAACACATTTTGATCATTTGAAATTATTTAAAAGTAATTAAGAAAAAAAACAAAGCTTCTACAAAAATTTTGGTTTTCAAAAATTTTACCAATGTTAAATATTTGTAATTTTAGATTCGGATCCTTGTCAATTATCATTATCTCAAGGAATTATCATTAATAATGGACCATATACTCGTTGGTTTTATGATCGCATTTCTAGTTCTTGCAAGCCATTCCAGTATGCTGGCATAGGTGGTAATCAAAATAATTTCTTGACAAGAAGCGATTGTGTTAAACGATGTCCAGGTATGAATGTGTCACCTATTTACCTTATGTTATGATTTTATCTAATTATACATTTTTTATTTTAATTATTTTGTAAAAAGAAGCAACATTTTATTTAACATATTTGAGATAATAGAACAAATCTCTTGAAGGTGCCAGTTTAAAATTAATTTATAAATTTATTATATGTCTCATTAATTAACTAATCTATTTTAAATCTACTTGAAATAAATTCAATATAAGTTATTGAAATTCATAGAAGGTAAACCTATTATTTTGGTATCGCCAACACAATCATCATCCTTATCATTATCAAATTTACCGGTAATTTGCCCGAAGGGAATACCATATGAAGATGAAAATAAAATAATTCCACATTGTTCCATTACCAGACCATGTCCTGTTAATTATTTCTGTCACATTGGAGCTGATATATCGACAACTGTATGTTGCAAAGTTACAAGTAAGCATTGAAATTTATTTCATAACTTATGCAAGCAAAGAAATAACCAGCGGAAGGACAATGATTATTGTAATCATTGTAATCTTATTGTAATTATTATTGTAATCTTTTTCACTTTATTGCTTACACTCTTATCATCTCTTTACAAAATTGATTCGCTAATAAAGAGTGAAAAAAGTTATAAAATTAAAAGAAAAATAATATATTATTTGAAAATATTGCTCAAATTGAATAAAATTTGTAGCATTTATGTCACCGTGCAGCATTCCGGTACAAATTGGTCACGGAACCGGACATATGAAACGTGTATATTACAATGCCGCACTCCGGCAGTGTATACCATTTATTTATTCTGGAATGGGTGGAAATGAAAATAATTTTTTAACAATTCAAGAATGTACCATTAAATGTATAAATGACGAATCAAATGTTATTCAATATTTTGATGCCGGTAAGTTTTTGCACAATTTCCAAACGAACACATTAAATCATAAAATAGGTGTGATTGATTAGTTTTAAAAGTCTTATGCAAAAAAAAGTGTTATCATCTGCACTGAAATCGTTTATCATTACAATTTGATTTAAAAAACTATTGCACAAATCATATCGCACAACGTTTAGTAATTTCGGAACAAACCAAATGTTTTCAAGACAAATCAAAGATTTAATTATTTCATTAAACAATCATTGATAATACATCGAGAAACGTACGAAATCGTTAACAACATTTCACTGTCATTCCGGAACATTATTTTAAATTTTATTCTGGTAAATGGTATGAGTGATAGTATGAAGCGATAACCTCAGAATATTCGATTGTATATCACATGATTGGATAATTAAATTATTGCAAAATTAAAGTATAGAAAAAAGGTAAAACACGGAAAAGATTGAGAAAAAGGGAGAGAGAGAGAGGATGGAAAGAGCAAAATATGCTTTAGTTTAGTATATTACTTTGGGTGACATGGAATAATATATAAATGACATTAATTTGGTACTATCAATTTACTCGAAATTCATTGTCAGACCTCTTTTAATTGTTAGTTATTGAAAAATAAAATTTATCAATCTCGTTTCTAAATTTTTCCCACATTATAAATGTTAAGGTTTAACTGATAATGGTGGAATGAATTGCGATCAAACAAACCAAACAAATTCCAGCGTATGTATTAAAATTTAAAAATATAAAGAAAAATACGAGATATTAAATGAAATAATTAGTTAATTTTTTCAGAAGAGAGAAAATTTTCTACTACCAATCAAATTGTCATTTATTAAAATTTTTCAATTATGACTGTAAATGAAAACTAACAATTTTTTGTCTTTTTTCCATTTTTTGTCTTTTTTTCTTCTGAAGCATGATTTATTAATTACTTTTTGGTGTACAATAGCTTATTTTTCAGCGATGCAATTTCAAGAAACTTCCTCCAAGCAAAAATATTATTTCTTGAAATAATTCAACATCAACGCGATAATTACGCCAATCAGTGAGCAAAAATCAACGATTAATCAACGGACAAATGTGTCGACGATCATTGGAAATTAAAAAAACATGAAAAATGAGCATATCCTACATATATATACATGAAAAAAAATAAATAAATAGCAACTCATAAAGTTTTTAGTAATTTAATTGATATAACTGTGTATTTATGCAATATGAAATTAATTACTGTTATTTTGATATGAAACACTTTTTTTGTCAAATGATAAAAAATTACTCATTTTGATTGTTGCAAAATTTCACTAATAATTCAATGAATTAAAATGAATTCAAAGATAATGTAAAATCTGAATAACATCATCATTCTTTTTATTACGTATATTTTTTACATGATTTCGGGCGTCTTCTGCAACGCTATTCGTATCCTACGTGTTATAGGTCTCATACGCAAATAAATTAACTTATTTTTTAAAAAAGTAAGAGAAACTGTACAATAAGGAATTAATTGAAAACAAAAGTAAGGAAAAATTGAAGTATGCGAAAAAATGATACAAAAGCCACATTACACAATTGTTTTTTTGAAAAGCATTTGCAGTTTTGGTTAATTAAAGAAATGTTGCCCATTGTATCAAAAAAATATTTTGAAATATTTTTTTTCTTGAATTCATTTCTTTTCCTTCAAAGCAATTATCAGATTTTCCACTCCAATTTTCTTCCTTATGTTTATATTTTTTTAAGAAAGATTTTCTACTTTTATGGAAGTTTTTCTACAATATTATTTTTTTGTAAATTCTTACTTCCGCATTTGTAACAAACAATAAATTCATAAATATTTTCAGTGAGTGTAATTTATTATACAAGAATTTGAAATAAATTATAAGAGCAACAAAAAGTGATTTTAAAAAAAGGAAAAAATACGAAGAGAGAGAGGATGAGGAAGACAGAGAGAACAGATAATTTTTCAATAATTGCCTTATTTATTTCTGGATTTTTCACTTTCATTTGAAAATTGTTCATTTTGATACTTTACGAGTTCGTTTTTCAGTTAAAATTCATTGTACTATTTTCAATTCCATAAATCTTGACAGAAGCAAATTTTTTTAGTTTAAGAATTAAATTTTAATTTGTAGATAATTATTATAAAACGGTAATATAGCAACAAGTCATAGCTCGTAATGCGGACCGGGAGCGACGATTGGCTATTGATTGCGAGTAATCAACTTTAACTGCCTCAAAATGAAAATATTAACCGAAATATAAAACAGAATTTTCTTTAGTAACAAATCTTTCTTTAGCGTTTTTTTTTCACATCTTTTTTCTTTTCATACTTTTCCAATCTTGATTTAATTATTTTTTGCTAACTAGCAAAAACGGACATGTTATGTGAATGTCCGGAATGAATGATTTGAAAATTTTCGTTTTGTCTCGTTTTTTCTTTTTTTATGCTTACATTTTTTTCAATAATCATTTATTGTTGTTTAAAAATACCAAAAAAAAATGAACAGAGATTTTTGAAGATAGGAATAAATTTTACAAAATGCACGAAACAAAGTGCATGCACAGGGCATAAAAAAGAACTGCTGAAATGCAAACCAACAGCTTACGAATTGCTAATACAAAATGATGATGACAGAAAAAACATTCAAAAGAATATTTTGCAATGGCAGACGAAAATTTCAGCGACATGGAAATTTATTGTTTCTATTTGAGATATTAACTAAAAATATAATATGAAAATCAATCAATTTTAATTTCTATAAACTTTAAAAATTTTGAAATTTTTGCATTTTTTTGTTTTTTTTGAAGTAATCATAGATTTTTGAAGACATAACATACAATGCCGTCTTTAGCCACTTGACAAAAATCACCGGTGTATGCAACATAAGTAAGATTACCGGTACTACAAAATATATTGTATTGACCCAACGATTTTGTCACTCTTTCCATGATTAGCTTTTGTGATGTTATTGGATTCGATGTCATCGTCTGCAAAAACAAAAAAATAATTTACATCTTAAACATTAATCCATCAAATTAGTCCTTCGGCACGAATTTAATAATAGCAATTTTATATAAAGCTTACTGATTTGCTAACAGTTGTTTTACTGGGGATGTATTACTTCAAATTGTTTCATTAAAAATAAAATTACAGTGAAATTTTTGATGTAAATTTAATAATGCAAAACAAAATTCTTCCAAAAACAATTATAGTTAAATTGACGATAATTAACTAAAAATTGCAACCAATAATGTGAAAAATGAGGAAAAAAACAACCAATAATATTTTAAAGTTTTCAAACCTCAGCGATGATTTTGCCGAGCATTTTATTGTTGCATGCGGAATTTACTGTTACAATTGTACTGTTTGAAATATTTCGTTTCATTCGTACAGTACATTGTTCGTCACATGTTTTGCAACATTTGTTCACAATAATTGGTTTATTAATTACTTTATAAATTGGTTTTACAACTGGGATTTGCAACGGTTTTATGATCGGTTTCTAAATGGTTTATATGATGTTTGCTACAATTATATTGTATAAAATATAAAATAATTCAATAGTTGGTGATTTTTGCGGTATTTTTCATTAATTTGAAAAAAAGCGATAGAAAAAATGGTAAAATAACTTACGATGCATACTGGACAAGATCTTGGCAACATAATAGGACAAACTGGCAATGCTGGACAGATTTTGGGTTGACAAATAACCGGTGGCGGACATAAGTTTTGGACAGAACATGCGTTAGTTGGGCATAGTGGACACTTACAACTTGCTTTTGATAAACCAAATAGGGAAAATTGAAAAGTTAATAGCACGGTGAGATAATTAAACATTTTTCTAAAAATATTTAAATGTCTGTTTTATACTGTAAAATAATAAACTATGAAATAATAATAGATCAACTGGAATAGTCTTGTGATTTCAATATTCCCAATTATTCACTTGCTGAATAATTTAATAATTGCTTTTTACCAATTATTGCTTAAAGTTTGTATTTGTTTGAAAATTGCGAAATTGGGTTTAATTGAAGAGCAACACACTAAAAATTTCATTTCAAAATTAATTTCTTGAATATTCCAATATAACAGTTTCTTAAAGTTACTGTTCTATAATCATTTTCTTTAATGAATCATTTAAATAAAATTTAAAAAAAGCAAAAAGTTTGCAAAGTGGAACTGCTTTAACATTTCATAATTGTTCAACTTTCCTTTTATATAATAATTTTTTTTTCTTTTTTTGGCTCATAAATATTTCATGAACAGTTACAAGTTTCCCTTTTGTATTTTGGTTACCGGTTAATGATCTTCTATAAAAAGGTTTTAAAAGACTTAAAGAAATAGTGACATATTATGCAGTACATTTGCTCATTTTCCAAACACCAATTTTCTTAAAAATGTTTTAGCATCAATGAGTTTTTCTTTTAACATTTCAACATTTTACTCTCTTTCTAATATACATAGGGAAAATCTTTCCCAAATATCAATTTTGGAATAATTTACTTTGAATTAATTTCCGTATTAATTGTGTATTGATATTTAAATATCTGTATTAATGACAAGTTCATTATCTGATGATAGTATAACAATTTAATCAATAACCAACAATTTCTGCAATTTGATTTTTTAAATAACTAAGTTTTGTTACTGAGAAATGTGCAATGATCATATAGTTAATGAAAAATTTATTTTAATAATTTTTGTAAACGAAAATATTAAACTTTATCAAATAAGGAGGATAAATTTGAGTTTTATTATGTTTTATTGTGTGATAAAAAATGATTACATTTTATAAAGCCTTGAAAAAAATTTTTTAAATTGCCATGTTCAATAAATTAATTCAGTAAAAATTTGGGTTAGGCAAATGCATTTATATTCATTTTAGTGATCGTGATCTGATATAAATTTGTCAGTTTATATCATGAATAAAATATTTTATTTGATGTTAAATTATCTAAATTTTAATCTTAGTACTTAATACGTTCCTAGCAATAATATAACGACAAATAACACTTTTAAATTCCATGCAAATAAAAAATTTAATTTAATTTAGTTTTCTTAATACAATGCATTTATATCATACTTTTTTCCAACCAAACTGTAATAACATTGAGGATGACAGTCGCAATGATTCTGTATTTCTTTGAAAAGTTATTTCATTTCAAGTAGTGCAAAATATATGATTTATTGTTTTATAAATATTTTTATAAAACTTTGCAGCTAGAAATTCACTTCCATTTTCAATCACTCAACATATTTCAGATTTTATTCAATGATTGAAATTGTTCACCGATTTGGTATTGTTTTTGTCGTAACGTTATACGTTACAGCAAACATTTGTACCGTAGAAGGATCACCATGTCGTTGTTCGCCATGTGAAATATTATGCCCAAAGACTATTCTATGTCCACCACCAATCACTTGTCCACTACAAACATGTCCAGTGCCATCACCATGTCCACAACCACCTCCATGTCCACCATGTCTTGTAACTATTTAAACTATTAATTTCTTTTTCCACTACAATCTTTAAAATTTCTTCTCAAACACAATATTTTTGAAAAAACTTTTGCTACTTTTGTATTAAAAATTCGATAGTTAAAAAAGAAAAAAATAAATCTGTATGCAAAGTTTATTGCTAATTTGAATTGAAATCTGTCACATTTAAACAAAATTTAGATGATTTTTATTTAATCGCTGATTTCTATTTAATATCTTTTAGATAAGAAACAAAATTAACAAGGAAAATATGTTTTCCTGTTTTCTACTTCAGAGTTCCGTTGTACAACAACCGGTCCTCGTCACTCATCACGTAGTAGTGCCAGTGGTACGGAAAATTCCTGTTATTGAAAATATCTGCTGCAGTACCTGTTCAACTCCGTGTATTGCACGTAAAAAACGTCAATTATCAATGAAAGATGAAACGATAAATAATACTATCAAATTACCATTGAATACCGTATGCAATAGCAAAATTTTGAAGAAAATAATGAATGAAGTAAGTATGAAATATTAATAATTAGTAGCTGTTGCTCCTAATTAATTCATGTTTTGTGAATCAATTAATGATCATTTTAGTATACTGTGTTTGTTGGAAATAGCATAAAATGATTTTTTGTCACTTTTGCAGAGCATTCTGTCGAATGTTACGGGATCACGACATTTAATTCAAAAGGCATCAGAAACTCAACTCCATGGACATTTCAATGTCATTTGCAGTGACAACGATTTGTCATATTCGGCCTTTACTACTTCTGTTTTCTGTCAACATCAGAAAGATAATATTATCTGTTATGCTTTTAAGACAACCGAATTTCAGTAAATGATTTCAATTTATACTTTATCAAATTAAAATATTGAATGGAAATTATAGCAGAAAGCAATCAATAATGAATTATGAAGTAGGCTATTGATTGACTTTCAAAAGTACCGTCATAGTAAACCTTCATTATTTTTTCAATTTTAAATCAATTTTCACTGAGGTTAAGTCAAATAGTCAAAAATACTGCTATATATAGCCATTGTTATGAATAAAGTTATAATTTGCTATGTTGCATGAATGAATTGCAAATTAAAATGTTAAATTTAAAAAAAAAAGACTTTTTACATGAATAAATACATAAAGCTATAAAAGGAAACAAATAGCTTTTCATCATCTGATAGTTTGATAATAAAACTTCAAATTTTTTTGAAATCTAAAGAATTTATTAATTTAAAAATTATTTGTGAAAAAAACTTATTAGAAAAATAATCTGAGCAATGAGCTACACATCTTGAACTCGAACGAATTACTTCTGTGATTTTTTTTTGTGTAACACATCGATGCATATTCACGACAGTTATTTGTAACGCATTGATCACTATTGATTGACATGACAGTTACATGTTGATCATTATTGATTGGTTTTTTTCATAATGCATTGATATTTATTCGACTATTACACACGAAATTCATTTACAATAACAATAATCCTTCTTTGGTTTTTTAGCAGAATATTACGTATTATCGTAATGATTCAATTCGGTTGCGTTCCAAATGAATTATTTACTCATCCAATAAAAAATACTGCACATATAGCTGACGTCACACAATATAAACGCTTTATGATGCATTTTCAAAATGTATGCGATTATAATGCGCAACCAATAAATCGAAATTTATGTGTTTAATTTCTAATCACGCAGTACACAAAATGCATAAGACATGCTGTGTATATAATTATAACTGTAACATTGTATATCAATTTTTTTCTCATAAATTTCAAAAATTTCAGTATAAGTACGAATGGACCAAAAAAATGTCACAAATGATTACTATAGTAGTATTGAATGTTTCATTTCTGAGATTAGTAAATAGCAGTATAATTGAATGTTTAATTTCAGGGATAATAAACAAAAGGAATATGTTGCCTCGATAAGAGATCAATCACAAAATCGTAGAATTTAACACAATTCATATTGTATGAAATTTTATGAGAGCTTTAAGTGCTGAAAGTTTCAAGTTTTGTAAAAGTTAACTATAGTTGTGTTTTTTTTTTTAATTTGTCCATAAAAAATGCTAATTTTCACCGATCACAATACACTCGTTTTTTAACCAACAAATATCTACGATATCTCTAATTTTAATTCTCGTATCTTCATTTGGATCCAATAAATGCTCGAGTAGTTCTAAAAGCAAATTACTTCAAATTTTGATTTTAGACTTGAAAAGAATAAAGAACTGAGCTATAATGTGCAATTTTTTATCTAATTATTTTTATCATTTTTCATTGTTCTCCTACTAATTTTTCTGTTTTTCCAAAGGTAGTTTTATATTTTGAAGATTAATTTATTATAAAAAGAATAATGATCATATCAACTAAGGTTAGATAATTTATAAGATATCTGATCTGATCATTTATCTTATGGCACAATAAGGATATCTTAAAAGAATCGAATAACAGATACTATCACATAATGCTCAACCAAATATGCTCAGACCTTAGGATTATCAGTTAAAATTTTATTCAATTCCTACAATCATAAAATCTTTAGGTCTAGATTGAATCAGATGTTGAAAATTTTTACTTATTCATAAATTATTTTCAGTCCAATACCTCTTTTATATTGACTCATTTCTTCAAATATTTGATTTTGCGATATGTTATTTTTTTGGCGTTATTATAAGAATATCTATTTTTAAAATATGTGTGATAACAATTTGACTGATAATTCTAAGGTACTAAAAATTCAAATGAAATGTCATTTACCTGAAAATTTTGAATTAGTACCTTCTAGAATTTTCAACGGAAATACACAATTCGATTTGTCTCTTTTTTTTTTATTAATGTATTGAAACCATTTTTCATAAGCGGGATCTTTTCTGAAAAGAAATTTTTTTAGTATTGCTAAGTGAATTCGATAATGATAAAATTTAGTAAAATTGTGTAATTTTTTCTTCAACAAAATTTGATGATATGATTTAATTGCATGCCATAATTTGGAATTTTTTTTTGTTGTTTATCATTGGACAACAAATAACACATGACCGATAAAATTATTGAACACTGTTCAATGCTTTCCCTTAAAAATAACTAAAAAAAATTAGTTGAAAGTGAAATTAAACGTCGTTTTCGCATTTAAAGCAAAATTAAAATTTTTCAAAACAAACTTATGTGCGCTACTCCATGGAATATGGAATGCAATTAATGTGTGCAAAACAATACCACAGGACCACACGTCGGCACATTCAGGCCTGAAGAAAAGTTTGTCAACTCATATTTTAAATGTCATTTTCCACAATACACCAAAAAAGAAGTTTGCCATATTTAAATGTTTTCTTTTTCAAGAATAAATTTGATAAAAATTTGCATTTCTCAAAAACGATATTAAAAGGTAGCTATAACTATTACGAATAATTGAAAGCAAAAAAGATTGCGGAGTTGCGAGACAGGAAGAAAAGAATAATGCGGAACGTTGCGATTATTGAAATGATAGCAATCCGCAGTTTTTGCCCATAGTCTCGATTAGCAATATTGATATAGAGAAAATTAGAACAATTTACATTTAAAACCTAAAAAGTTCAAAATTAGGATAAATTAATTAAATGGAATATTAAAAATTTGTAGAAGACAATGAAAAAAGACAAAATGAACTGACTTAGTGAAAGAATCAAATCGTTGTGGTGGTGCATATGCTTTGGTTCCAATTTGATTTGGTAGTACTGTTGTCCCGGAATTAAATATTATTGCATAATCAAAATCCGATAATTTCAATGATCCTTAAATATCATTACTAATTAAAAGCATAGTTTTCTTTTGCATCTTTTCTGGGTTTTAAATTTAACAGTTTATTGATAAGAATACGATAAGCTAAATAATAGGAATTAAGAATGATAATGATCTAAACATTTCTGAAATAATAACAGAATAATTTATACAAATATCATTTAATCTTCGCTTGCAACCAAATGATAACAATTCTGATGAACACAATTTTTATAAATTTCGGAGCTTATTATGATCATTTATCACTGAGGTCATTATTATTACTATTATTTTAATTATTGTGATTAACAATTAGTATTATATAATGCAAAAAAAATGTTTAAATTTAGAATAATGAAGAAGAATATGAAGTAATTTTCATATTTTGATAAATGCTATTTTTTCTTCACTTTATAAAGTCAAGCTAAATTAAAAAGTTTATGAAAAAATATATAAATTTGGAAGAAGTAAGTATTGCATTTAAAATTTTCAATACTAAACAGCTTACCCCATTTAGTTAATAAACAATTTTCGATTTTAATATCCAAATGTGCTATGTTACGCTCATGCAAGTACGCGACAGCACGTGTTAAATCACGGAATCGTGACGTTATTATTTCTTCCGGTATTTGCCTTTTGCCTAAAATCTTACAATCACTTTACACTTCTTTTGCTAAAAAATTAAGGCGATAATATTGTGCAATCGTACATTTATTATTATTATTGTTATCGTTATTAATTATTATTTGTTATTATTAATTATTATTACTATGAATGGTTTTAAACTCTAATAATTTAAAAAAATAATTAAAAAACTCACACTATGACTTATCGGGATAGGAATTGTACTAATCATTTGATTTATTTAAGTATGAGAAAAAATTGAAAAAAAGTCTGAAAATATGGTAAAAACTCACATTTTCTGTATTTATCAATTTCATGAAGTAAATCACCGCCAGCGGCGTATTCGACGAATATCTCCCAAATGACGCCAACTCGTCGAAACCCGAAAAAAGTAGCAATGTTGTCGTGGTAGCCAATTTTCAACAACACATCAGTTATCTGAATTAAGGAAAGTTCTTTCAAATTTTGCATAAAAAAGGGCTAAAAAATATGCTGGAAAGAAAAAATAAATTTTGATAAAAGATTTTATGATTTTTTGGCCCAGTAAAATTAATATTCTAAATGATGAAATACATAAAATATTTAAAGAAATAGAATATTGCAATGATAATCTTACGAAATGATCGTTTTGATAGAATTTCAAAACTCGTCATAATTTTAAACAATATTTGCATTTGTTTTATTTTCAGTTCTATTATGATAAATTTAATCCAACCATTAAAACATTTTTTTCTTTTTTCTCTTTTCAGCAAATTTTTCTCTACATTTTACTCGTTTAAAATTTTCATTTTTTTTTAAAAATCAAACCTAAAAGAATGATGCATTTTACTAACATGTCGCCGGCACGTTTGATATTCGCATTCAATTTCACGACGTAATTTGGTATAAAATACATTTTTGGAATTCCGGAAATATCGTTTACGAATTGCTAATAAAATACCGTCAGCGTATGCTTGATAAACTCGAAAATATGAACCTGGAAATAAAATTTCAAATTCAAAATTAGAAAATAAAATTCCAAAACATTTTCAAATTTTTAATAAAATTGATTAGTAAAACTTCAAATCTTAATAAATTTAATTACTTGACTAAAGTAATTAATTTTTTGTATTGGAAAAGTATTGGAATGTAAAAATAACTATGTTGCTATGAACGGATTAAAATGATTTCTGATGACTTAATTGGTAATATTTCCAGAAATTCAAACGGATTTATCGAAAAAAGGGAAAAACAGATAGCAGTGTTATAATTTCATGAATTTTCAAAACTTTAAAAAAATTTTTCTCTGATTCTTTTTTCCGTTCATTTATTATTTGTTGTTGTTTTTATTTATTCTAAACATGCGAAGTTTAACAGTGAATGGCATTTTTTGTGCCCGAATAGTTTATTCTGAAAATTTGCAAAAAGCGAAAAAATAAAAACGAACAAACTTTACCTCTGCCGAGGAAATTTCCAATAATCCATTTCTTCTCTCGAAGTTTTTCGGGCAAAAGTGACTCATCAATTACTTCGTCAGAACTCATCTATGATTATTTCAAACTTTTTTTGATACTTTGAAGTAAAATATTTAAACCTAAATCTTTTTTGCATAGCACAATTTTCACCAAAAATAAATAATAGAAAATTTGCTCGATCCAATGCACAAGATTTAATAAAAATTCAGTTAATTTTAAAGGTTTTTAAAAAATAAAAAATATTCAAAAGTAAAAGTGTGAAAATATTGAATTACTATACTGATAGTGATTAAGCAAATATGCTAATAAAATTTGGACCATTTCCCGAAATTCATAGTTTGTTATAAAAATTTTCGTTCCAAATTATTTCAAATATAACATCCTTCTATTTATATTTAGGGACGATGAAATTTAATTAGTACATGTGATGCTTATCTAATCTTAACTCCTCACTTCCCTAAATTAAGTTTCATAACGAATGAGTAAATATTAATTAAAACTGTTTATTAGAGTGTAGAGATGGTTACCAATGATGCGGATGATTCTGGATTATCAGATTCTACACCGTGCGATAGATTTTGATCACTGTTATTGTAGTTATTATCATTATCACCATCGTCATCATTATTACGTTCATAGGCTCCTTCGAGCACCGAAATTTCTGAAGGGCATCTGAGTGAAGCTATTTCGTTGCTCAAGCTATTCCAGGAGATACCGCTGAATTCTGATTCATTTCTAATATCATTAATTGCTGCATCACACATCGTTGTTTAACACTGAAATTATAGCTGATTGTAAGTAATTGAAAATGGATAATTCTCTCTTCTTTTCTCTTTCTCTTCTCTCTCTCTCTCTCACACATATAAAATAAGTAGCTTGATTGTTTCAATACTTACAATAATACAACTTGATGTTAAACTTAACCTCATTATAAAATAATATTTGAAAGATCCAAATGGAACAGAATTACTTTACATATAATTTTTTATCAAATTTAAGTCAATATCAATTTTATCAAATTTTAACAGCCAACTCATTAGCTAATTAAGTCTTTTGTTCAGAAATTTAACATGACTCATAAAATAGTTTTAGGAGAAAAAAGAACATTGGCTTCATCATCACGAAAACTTTCACAAAGTTAATATTGCAAGTAATAGATAAGATAATAGGTAAAAAAATCAATTAGTAAATGAGCAAGATAAAATAATATCCCTTATAATTGAAAACTTTAAGATACTATAAACAATTTAATGCTATCATTGCATTTTATAAAACTCCCGAGATATGAAATATAGAAGCCAATTGGAAAGAAAAGATCACTGAATAATTTGAAATTTTGAAAATATAAAATATAAAGAAATAATTACGAGTAAGGGACAGCAGTCAATTCATACAAGTGACCACAAAATGGGAAAAAATGAGCGCTCATGCATGCATTTATTCAAACTAACTGTAATGGTCAAAATATTATTTTTCTTCAAACTAATGACCGCTCATTCACTTCTTCTTTTTTTCACTTTTTTTTTACTTTATTGCAAATAGCAAAAATCTGAAATATCAAAGTTCTAAATGTTGATATTATTTGAATAATCTTCTAATATGCATTTCCTTCTCTATTTTTGCTCTTCATATTGCAAAAAATACTCAAATTAATTTTTTATTTTGTTTTCAGTTCTATCGTTTTCATACAAATAATTATTCACTGAAGATGTGAAATAATTAAATAATTAAATAAACTGTGAAATGAAAAAAATGTATTAAATTGTATTTCTCAAATTGTATTTAAATTTATAAAAACAGTATTTAAATTGCTTTTAAATCGATAAGTAAGCAAGTAAGAAAAGAGCTGCGAATTCAGTATTTGTGTAAACTAATTAATGCGCTTATATTACGTTTACATAATTATGACATGAAAAAGTTTATTACAGTAAATTTTTCTTTTTCTCAATTTTGCTTTTTTCGTACTTTAGTAAAATAGCAAATAAGAAAAACGTACAATTTGTTTAAGTAAAACTATATTTCTTGCTGAAATTACGCTTATACTTTAAATTTCTTTGCCAAATTAATTTAATCTTTAGTGTTACAAGTTTACTGCTCTATAAAATCGATAATTTTTAATTTGATAAAATCAGTAACAATTATTTTTCAGTTATAATATAATTTGCAGGAAAATTTCCAAATGAGTTTTTAAAAAAAAATTAGCAGCTTGACATTTTTTGTTTGGATTCACTTACTTGCTAACTGGTTAAAATTTAAAGACAATTTTATATTATCAGATATATTTGCCATGCTTTTTTTGGATTGCTGAAATTATTAAATATAATTCGCAATTTAGTTTTTTCCATCTTTTACGACGATTCATGTTTAAAGTTGGAAGCGAAAATTTTGTTTCAAAACATGCAAACTCAGAAAAAACTGGATCGTATGAAGAATGAGTGAAATTGAAATTTATTTAATTCCATAGTTCTGCAAAATCCAGTTACATATACAACGGTTTTAACTGTTGTTATCAATGTTATAAAAATCGTATATTGTCAGTGAAATCATACAATATGCTTTGTATGTTTTCTTGAATTATACTTCTAAAGAATACCGCTAATGATTTGTGTCGAATGACCTCCATTAATCTTTCAAATGACCGGTCAGTTCTTTGTCCAATCAGCTCATGTACAAAATGACTGTCTATTCGCTACAAGGGTGAGCACGGCCTATCTCGAGAGGACTGCAATTCACTGCTGTGAAATAAAACTGTCACATTTGCACTCTGCGAATCGTCACCTCAACGAGCAACCTCAGGTTATCCTCTCAAATCAACAAGTAAAGGAAAACGACCAAATGATAAACTCCATTCTTGATGATGTCAAGAGAGAATGAAACTCTCCATCTTTTAGTAAACTTTCAGTGCAATTCGATTCCATCACACAAAACTATCTCTTAAAAATAATCATAAAAAAACAGAAACGTTGACAATTTACACATTGTTTTCAATTAGTAAAAATATAGACTGAATAGTTTATTTAGTGCGAGGCTTACTTTTAAAAATAAGACAAAACTAATGTATCAGAATTTTTTATTGGTTAAAGTTTAAATAAAAATAATTCACACTTTAATTTAAACTCTTGCAGATATCTTTGGTTTTTACATTCTTTCATCCATCGTTTTTATAAACAATAAATTGCTATGCTTCTTCTTTTCCTGGCGGATATGTCACGCATACGTGCAGTTCTGATGGGTAGGAATAAATGCTCGTTTGATAGCCAATACAATGGAAAGGTTACTGTAACATAACCATGGGATATCATTTGACCTATTAGGAAGGAAAAGATCGGTTGTGAATATTTTTTTGTGTGGGAGTTGACTGTTTAATAGTAAATTGATGATTTTGTAATCAAAATGTGACAAAAAATGATCAAAAGATCAGTAGTTCATCTGATAAATGAAATTATTGGCAAATGAGTAATCGTCTGGTCATTTGATAGATGAAGCCGATGGTAAGAAGGATTATTTGATGTTAATCATTTACTGTATTATTTAAAATTGTGAACTGAGGGATATTAAAACAAAGGATATCCCGTCATTTGACTAAGAATGTTTGAAACAAAGGATTTCTATAACATAGATTTCAAATGCAAACAAATTTTGAGCATATATATATATATATATATGTTATAAAGTTATTTCGAATTTTCAACAGGCAAGGAGTAATCGTCTTTTAACAGCGATTACATTATTGATTTGATTGATTAGTCTGCCGATTACTCGCGGCTAATTGTATATTATATTAAATCATTGCTCTCAACATTTTTCAGCTTTTATAGAGCACATGTGGAATTTCAGATGTTAACCAAATGAAATTTGATGATTTCATTTAAAAGTAAAAATTCCCGATGAATTCGATAGCAGCGAGAAAGCGACTTCGAAATTAAATAATAAGTGTGATTAACGATAAGAGCAATACGTGAAAAATGGTCAGTGCTTTTGCTTGTTTTCATTTTTTTTGATAGGCTGAAAAAATTCGGTATTTTATTAATTATATACCATTTTTGTTATGTTTGTTTTTATATGTTGATAAAATGAAAATCAAAATTTGTAAAATAGACCAAAATTTTGTTCTTGAAATAAGGCTTATCAGATGGTTATTGCATGCTGGCATGCTTTTATGTTTCTTATTAGTTAGTGCCAATTGAAATTTTTTTTATTATTGATCCATTTAATATAACCTCATATTACCTTTATTCAATCAATAAAATTAATGTTCTTATTTACACACACATACAGTCTTTCCATATGAGAATTGGTACCGAGCGTATGTTGATTATAACGAATTTCTAAATATCATTTGATTGGAGACATTTCGTCACATGCATTCGTCTCTCTCTCTCTCCGTCTCTCTCAGCCTCTCTCCTCTCTATCTCTATGTATGTCTCTCTCTCTCTCTCCCTCTATATCGCTCTCTATTTTTGCCTCTTTGTAATACAACAAATGACGGAATTTCAAGTCGAATTGACAAAGGCTTGACCTTACGTTCTTTTCCTTTCTTTAAGCGATTTCGACAAAAATTATACACATATTTATATAAATTAATAATTCTATTACCCTTCATATCAATAACTTATAGTACGCTTATGGTGTTGTGGACGTTGAAGGTTTTTGGTTTGATTTGACTTGGGAGAGCTTTGTGGCTATGT